GGGATTTGGAGTACTGAGTTCAGGGGTACCGACAGACAGAGTCACCTGGATGCAGAGTAGAGAGCAGACTAATTGCTGTGTGTGACCAGATGATGAGCCTCAATATCACTGGAACTGGCGAGCTGCTGCTGTGGGGATTTACTGCTGCTAGAGAGAATGAGCCTACTGGCCATACAGCCATCTAGTAGCCTTACTGCTGCCTGCATGCCTGATGGGGATTATTCTTACATGCACCAACAGTGCATCTGGGCCCCAATGCTAGCTGCCTGACGAGTTAGGACTAAAGAGTCTATTTTTCTACTGCTACCCACAGATCTTCACCTATTGATTATGCTAAGAGGGATATTGGACTCTATCCTAACCATTTTCCTAGAATGTACTCTAGAATAGTTTTAGTATTATTATTCACATTACAGTCAATGTTTATATGCACTGTTTATTGCTGACTTTGCTGAGTTAATCGTAGTTTCTGTAATAGAAGTCTGTTCTAAATTTCCTTGGCACAGAGATTATACTGTATAGTAGACTGCATCTGAACCTACCTTCTGTGTGTTCATTTATGCTCAAACCACCATTTATTTTAACCTGTACCAATACATTGAGTTAACTTACCACTGAACGGTCTTGTGTCTATTTTCTGGTGCTAATCAACAGCCGAATTAAAGGTATTTATACTCATGTTCTAATAAGAACTTGCAGTAACTTTCACTCAGCCAGGTTTGTCAGAGGGGCTGAGGTTGTTCTCGGAGTCGGGGCAAAGAACAGAGAACCCAAAATACCAAGCGGCTCCTGCGGGGGTAACTCTTCAGAAAATTTTAGATGATTGGGTTTCATTTACTTTAAGGGAGTGGCTAAGTGTATAGGTGAAAGTTTGAAATATTTTTTAACTAATCCAGCATCAGTCCTTGAACAGAACTTTCCAACAACACTTTACAAAAACAAATTTTTAAATTCAGAAATACCAGACCATTCTGGGACAGGGAGCACAGTAAATCGCTGTGGGCGACACCTCTGATTTTTATCACCTCCCATTAAATACAGATATATATCACTTTTTTTTAGTTAGTAGGGAATTGAGTTTGTTGCGGCGTATAACGCTGCTTGACATTAATTACCGCCAGATTATAGGTTATTTACAATGATTGCTATATAATGTCCATGGGCCTGGCCGCTTTCTAATGGAAAATATAGGAAGGTGCGACAGGCTTTGCAAGGAGACTTTAATTGAAGCAGCAAATCATACCAAGCATGCTGTGTTAGCAGAAAATTTAGCTCTTTTTAAAAGGAAGAGCGGAGATACAGAAAAGTCTGATGTATCGGTATATCTTTCTTGGGCTCGTGTTAACTGCAAGGAGCAAGCTAAAAAGACGTGAAAAAGTTTTCCTAGATAAACTGGAAATATGGGCAGAATCAAACTTACATATATGATGCAGTCTGCTGAACATACCTGTTTATGCTACCTAGAGATCCATTATTTTTTTACTTGTAGCACCCTCCTAGTTAGGTGCTAGGATTAGTTAGATAGAATTAGTTGTGTTTTTGATAGGTACATTTGGTTGTCACTCTGTAGTCAGAGTGGCTGTAAATGTTTGTTAGGAAAAAGCATAGTTAGCTCTTGGTACTTGGTGAGCTGTGATCGTTTAGTTAGGTCCGCTCTGTGTGCTCAGGTGCTGCCAATCTGCCTAGCTTCCTCTGTATCCAAGAAACTATAGAAGTTTCTGGATGATAGGTGTGGAGTTATGCAGATGGAAGCATGAATATTGATACAGCTTCAGCGTATCCGAGATAGAGGGGATCCAAAGCATACTGCATAATTGTATATATTCAGTGAGCACAAAGGGCTCTGGGTTCTTTCCTGTCCAGGATTGATCCAACCTGGGAGAGAGCACGTTGCCCTCCCAGGCATCTACTGCCATGTGGCCTCAGGTGGGCGACCTGAGGACCTGAATGCTGAGACCTGGATTCTGCTATGCTATCTACTGAACGTCTGGGCCGGTATCACGGACAATGGCGTCCAGCTGCTCTTGGGCCTTGTGAGTGCAGACATCCCTAAAGGATCTTAGAGACTGAGTGCTCTTTAACCCCCTCTGATGCTAGGGTGTCAGCTGTGGGTCTAGCAAAGAGAATGCCAGCTGGTGTTCTGAAGAGCTTCATCCACCTGACCTACTTCTTAAAGAGACACTGTTCTTTGGCTCTGAAGAAGTTACTACTACTACTACTACTACTACTTACTACTACTACTATGGCCTTAAGTTGTAGTCCACTGCTTGATTCAAGCAAGGACTCCAACAGAGTTTATCCTGAAGATTAGATAGGGTCATCTACACAGTTCCTATTTTTGGAGTATCCCACTCATCTCCCTCATCCCCATCCAAGTTCTCCAAAAATAAAAAAAATAACACCCCTAGACTGGTTATTGGAGAGTCTATGTACCTGGCTGCAGTGCAAAGATTCTGGGAAGGACTTGGACAGTATTCCTGGGGCTCCTATGGGAGTAGAGCTACATACTTCCTTTAAGATAATGACAACGCTGTTAGTTCTGCAGGTCAGCGTTGTCACACTGAGTAGCCTTAGATGGACTTTAAAGTAAACTTGAACTGGGTCACATGTAATTTGCTAAAGCACTGTGTACCAAATAATTGTCCTATTTATTTTTAATAAAATACTTATTTTAATATTTTTTTCATTATTTCAGTGACCATTGTAGACATGTCCATCTGTCAGTCTGACCTAGAATTTCAACTGCAGTGCCAACTGCAAAAATGTCTCAGGTAAGCAAAAGCACACTCATTGCTTTATTCCCACCTACAGTTATGCCTTTCTATACAAAATACTATGCTCTCCAACTTTTCTCTGAGATGTACATTTCTGATTACACTCAGCGCCAGGATATCACGCCCTCCAACATGACTCTCCGTTCAGTAGGATATACTCTGCTCCTCACCTTATCTTTACCTTTCTAATTATACTCACCACTAGGATAACAAACCCTCCAACATGACCCTCTATATGGTAGGGAATACTCTGCTCCTCACCTTCTCTCTACATTTCTGAATATACTCACCACTAGGATAACAAACCCTCCAACATGGCCCTCTATATGGTAGGGAATACTCTGCTCCTCACCTTCTCTTTACCTTTCTGATTATACTCACCACTAGGATAACAAACCCTCCAACATGGCCCTCTATATGGTAGGGAATACTCTGCTCCTCAACTTCTCTCTACATTTCTGATTATACCCACCACCAGGATATTACACCCTCCAACATGACCCTGTGTATGGTAGGATATGCTCTGCTCCTCACCTTCTCTCTACATTTCTGATTATACTCACCACCAGGATATAACACCCTCCAACATGACCCTGTATATGGTAGGATATGCTCTGCTCCTCACCTTCTCTCTACATTTCTGATTATACCCACTACCAGGATATAACACCCTACAACATGACCCTGTATATGGTAGGATATACTCTGCTCCTCACCTTCTCTCTACATTTCTGATTATACCCACTACCAGGATATAACACCCTACAACATGACCCTGTATATGGTAGGATATGCTCTGCTCCTCACCTTCTTTCTACATTTCTGATTATACCCCACCACCAGGATATTACACCTTCCAACATAACCTTCAATAAGGTAAAAAATACTCTACTCCTGACCTTCTCTCTACCTTTCTGATTATACTCACCACCAGGATTGCACATCCTCCAACATGACCCTCCATATGGTAGGATATACTCTGTTTCTAACCTTCTCTCTCCCTTTCTGATTACTCCCTGCATCAGGTTATCACACCCTTTAGCATGACTCTCTGTAGAATAGTGTTTTGCTTTGTCTTTTAAGGTCACTTTGTGGTAAAACCAAGGAAGCATGAAACGTAATGTATTAATGTTTTGCTTTACCAAATAAAAATGCTGCACAAACTACATACAATTTTAGGAAAACAATACACGACATACAGAGTATTACAAACTATACATACAATATACTCATGCACTAGCTATCTTTCCTTCTTAGAAAATTTGCATAAACAGTGATTGCAAGAGGGATACACTACAAGGTATTTATAGAGTAGGTTTAGTGTCATCCCCAAGTGAACTTCAGTCTTTCTATATGTTATCCCCAGGTCACCTTCCAGACTGCTTGCTTCTCCAAAGTTCTCCAAAAACGACTACTCTTTGTCTCCAGCACAAAGTCCTTTCTTCCTTTCCCCTACTTCCAGCCAACATCACTACATGTGTCCTGAGCTCCATGAATCAGTTCAACAAGTTAATTAGCATACGAATAGGAGAAGCCCAGCTTCTAAAAACAAAACGGGGTCATCATTCCATAAAGTTATGATATACAACATTTCTAAAATAGCCATAGCAACACAAGTAGAACATACTCTGATCCTGACTTTCTCCATACCTATTACACTCACTTCCGGGATATCACAGCTCCAACGTGACCCTTCGCAAGGTAGAAAATACTCTGCTCCTAATTTCCTCCCTAACTTTCTGATTACGCTCCAGGATGTAAAACTTTACAACATGACCCTCCATAAGGTAGAAAATTCTCTCTGCTCCTGATCTCCTCTCCCCCATTCTGATTACAGCTACAATTGGGATATCACACCTCCCCTCCATAAGGTAGAAAATTCTCTGCTCCTGATCTCCTCTCCACCATTCTGATTACAGCTACAATTATGACTAGAGATGAGCGAATTATTCAAAAATTCGATTCGGCTAATTCGCCGAATTCGCGGATTAATTTCTTTTCGAGGCGAATATATTCGCTGCGAATTTAACGTGTAAAAAGGGTGTTTCTAGGCTTCAGAGAGCCTTTATATTAGTGCAGAACACTGTACCTTTAATTTAAATGCCCTTGGAGTCTGCTGGGGAAGAGAAATAATACTGTCAGTCAGTATGACATGCAGATGAGTGCCGTCGATCTTAGAATAACCGCACACTTCACTCATTTGGGCAGTCACGGGGCCAAAGTCACGGGGCTAAACCTAGGCCTGTGTATGGCCTTCAATTGAAGCTGCTTCTGCTCCGCCACTCTGCCATTGGACTCTTGATAGTCGTCGACTATCAAGAGTCCAATGGCAGAGTGGCGGAGCAGAAGCAGCTTCAATTGAAGGCCATACACAGGCCTAGGTTTAAAAGTCCCTCACAGTTAATTCCAATAACGAACTCTACTCCTCCGTGCAATCTACTTACGAGACCCTGGGCAGGTCTGGGTCCAATTTGTGGTAGAGACTGGTTTTGTTCAGCCATGCTTGAGCGAGTAATAACAGGTCTGTGCTGCCCTTTGGTGTCTGGCTTAATGCGCACAACACTGAACGTCCCAGCGTTTGTCAACGATTTGCCGTTAAGTGATGCAAACCCGCTGAACCACGTTCATGAGGAGCCGGTACAGGGGCCATGAATCAGTATGGACCTGGCAGCAGCGTGAGCAGACGACAGAGGCACATGGCGCAGGGTGGCGGTGTAGGCAGCATTATTCTGAAGCCATACACAGGCCTAGGTTAAAAAGCGGAAGCCGTCAGCAGCGTGAGCAGACAACAGAGACACATGGCGCAGGGTGGCGGTGGATGCAGCAGTATTCGGAAGCCAAACACAGGCCTCGGTTAAAAAGCGGAAGCCGTCAGCAGCGTGAGCAGACGACAGAGGCACATGGCGCAGGGTGGCGGTGGAGGCAGCAGCAATGGAAGGCCATACAGCACCCTATCACAAAATGGAACCCACCAACAGTGTAAGGAGACCTGAAAGTGGCACATGGCAGAGTCTGGCGATGAAGTCAGCAGCAATGGGAGGCCGTACAGGGACCCATGACACACTCTGGACCTGGCAGCAGCAAGAGGAGGCGGTACAGGGGCCCATGGCAGAGTGGCGAAGCGTAAGCAGCTTAAATTGAAGGCCATACAGAGGCCTATGTTAAAAATAATAACATGTTTGGGGCATGATTCATGGCGGATTTAGTCAGTTGTGTCAGGAACTGGTGGTTTGAAATCCAGACTAATCCACGCCTGATTCATTTTCACAAACGTGAGTCTCTCCACACTTTGGGTGGACAGTCGTGTCCTCCGCGGAGTTACAATACCTCCTGCCGCACTAAACACGCGCTCCGATGCCACGCTACTGGCCGGGCATGACAGCCTTTCAAGGGCAAGTTCAGCTAGTTGGGGCCAAAGGTCAAGTTTCGTTGCCCAGTAGTCAAGGGGATTGTCTACCTCGGTTGGCAGGGTGCTGTCCAAGTAGGCCCGAGCCTGTTGTTTGAGGTCCTGCTCCAGGTCCACCTGATGCTGCTGCTGCTGCGGCTGGTTAGTAGTTTCCTCACTGCGCTGGTGAAGAAAGCTACTCATCATCGACTGCAGACTGAGGCAGCCGCTGCTGGTGGAGCTGCCACTGCTCCTACCACCCCACCCCTCCCCTGCTGCCATGGCAGCGGAACGCGAGCGCACAGGGCCCACAGTGTCTGAGGATGGACGTTGGCGCAGAAAGGCAGAGACCAACTGACTACATAGGTGGTTTTTATAGTACTTTATTTTGGCCTCCCTCTCAGCAGGTGTGAAAAAGGCCACCATTTTTGAACGGTAGCGAGGGTCCAACAAGGTGGACAGCCAAAAGTCATCCCTCTGTCTGATGGTTATTATTCGGCTGTCGCTACGCAAGCAACCAAGCATGCTATGGGCCATTTGTGCCAAGGAATGCGAGGGACTCCCTGTCTCCATCTCCACAGCATACTGCCACGGTGCGTCTGGGTCCTCTGTCTCCTCCTCCTCTACCAGATGCTCCTGCTCCTCCACTCCTGTCCGCTGAGTGGAAAAACCACCCATTTCACTCAATAATTCCTGAGCACCAATGTCCTCCTCTACCTCCTCCTCTTCTTCCTGTCCTGCCCCCACAGGGGTCATGTGGCGTTGAGATCTGTGCGCCACGTCTACCGCACCCTGACCAGCCATTGTTAACAGCATTTGTTCCAGGACGTGCAACAGAGGAATGACGTCGTTCATCCCATAGTCCTGCCGACTCACGAATAGCGTGGCCTCCTCAAAGGGCCTGAGCAAGCGGCAGGTGTCACGCATGAGCTGCCAGTGGCTGACATCGAAGTTACACAGGGGAGTACCTTTATCCGCTTGTAACATCAGGAAATCGGTGATGGCCTTTCGCTGCTCGTAAAGGCGGTCTAACATGTGTAGGGTTGAATTCCACCTTGTTGCAACGTCGCAGATCAGGCGATGCTGTGGAATTCCGTTCTGCCGCTGCAGCTCAAGGAGGGTGTGCTTTGCGGTGTAGGAATGGCTGAAATGCATGCAAAGTTTACGTAACATTTTAAGGATGTCTTGCAGTGGGATGGTGGATTTTAGGAACCGCTTGACAACCAGATTGAACACGTGAGCCATGCATGGCGCATGGCACAACCTTCCTTGACGCAGAGCAGACACCATGTTCTTTCCGTTGTTGGTCAACATGGTTCCGATTTTCAGTTTGCGCGGAGACAGCCATCTGTCGATTTCTCTGTTCATTACACTCAGAAGTTCCTCCCCTGTGTGACTACGTTCGCCAAGGCATACCAGGTGCAGCACAGCGTGACACCGTTGCGCCCTGCACATGTGATATGCCGGTCGGGTAATGGGACTTGGCACGGGGGTGGCGGCTGAGGACACGGCGGAAGAAGAGGTGGTAGAGGCGAACATCTTTGCTGGACCAAGGACGTGCAAACGTGGAGGCAAAAGCGGCGTGACCTGTCCAAGTTGCTGGTGCGGCTGTGCCGGCACCACGTTTACCCAGTGGGCCGTAAATGACATGTACTGTCCCTGACCGTAGTTACAGCTCCACACGTCGGCGCTGCCGTGCACTTTGGCAGAGACCGACATGCTCAAAGACTGGCCCACCATCTCTTCTACATGTGAATGCAGGGCTGGCACTGCCTTTTTGGCGAAGAAATTCCGGCTTGGCACTCTCCACCGCGGCTCGGCACAAGCCATCATTTCTCGGAAAGGTGCTGAGTCCACCACTTGGAAAGGGAGGGACTGCAGCACCAGCAACTTGGACAGGAGGACGTTCAGCTTCTGCACCGTCGGGTGCGTGCTCGCAAACTGTTGTCTCTTGGAAACGGATTCCAAGAAAGACTGCTGACGGAATCCGTGAAGAGGAGTAGCAGGAGAAGGAGCATCTGAACGAGCGGAAGATGCCAACTAGCGACAACTCCCCTCAGCAGAGGTGTTGGAGCCTTGACTGGCTGATAGAGGGCGATTGACGTCGGGTGACGGAGCAAGTAACGGAGCGGGTGATGGAGCAGGGGCTGGGGCAGGCAGAACCGCCGTATCTTTATCACGGTTTTCCCAGGCCACCGAATGGCAACGCTGCATATGCTGACGCAACGCTGTAGTCCCAACATGGGCCCCCTGGCCACGCTTGACTTTCTGGCCACATAGTCGACATACGGCTACGTTTACTTCCTCGGGCGGCTTGACGAAAAATTGCCACACCGCCGAGTAGGAAACTTTGCCCCCGCTACTCCTCACTGGCTGACTGCTACTTCCTCCGTGCACACCGGTACCACTACTGGCCGTGGTGGTAGGCTGCAGTGGAGCTGGTGCTCTACTCCGTGGCCGTTTGCCTCCACTGACACTGCTGCGACCCTGCTGCCTCCTGGGCAACCCACCGACTGTTTTGCTCGCTGGCAAGCTGGCACCCTCTTCTCCTGATGATGCGGAAGCAATAGCCTGATGACGACGAGGCTGCCAAGTGCGATCAGCCTCATCATCATCAATTAGGGTCTCCGCGTCACTACTAGCCCCCTCGGCTGCGTGTGGGTCAGGAGACAGACCTGTCTCTAGACTGGCTACCAAGCCACTCTCCTCGCCAGTACTTCTTCGCCTGGCTGCTGAAGAGGCGGATGTCTCCCCCCGTTCCTGACCGCCCTCTGTTAGCTCTTCCTCACTGTACAGTGGGGCTGAGCCCACAGCATGCGATACTTCGCTTGGTGAGGGATCACCAAAGGACAGGGGCAGGTAGAGGACACGTGATTTCAGTGGGCTTGCTCCCGGGCCATGCCAACTAACGGTTGTGTCTGACGTACCCACCGACCGTTGGCTGTAGGTGTCAGAGGTGACCTGGGAAGAGGAAGACGACCGAGTCAACCAATCGATGACGGCAGGGTTGTCGGTGGAGACACGACCGCTGGATGACACCGGGAGCACTGGCCTCTGGCTGCGACTAGTGCTGCCTCGACCCCTTCCTCTGCTGCCACGTCTGCTCGCTCCTGAAACATTGCCTCCTCTGCCACTCCTCTGCGTGTTGTCTGACATACTCTTTAATTCAATAGTGGTTGTGAAGCAGAAAGTAACGATTCTGTGTCCCTGAGTAACAATTCTGTGTCCCCGAGTAACGATTCTGTGTCCCTGAGTAACAATTCTGTGTCCCCGAGTAACAATTCTGTGTCCCTGAGTAACGATTCTGTGTCCCTCAGTAACGATTCTGTGTCCCTGAGTAACGATTCTGTGTCCCTCAGTAACGATTCTGTGTCCCTGAGTAACAATTCTGTGTCCCTGAGTAACAATTCTGTGTCTGTTCCTGAGTAACGATTCTGTGTCCCTGAGTAATGATTCTGTGTCCCTGAGTAACGATTCTGTGTCCCTGAGTAACGATTCTGTGTCCCTCAGTAACGATTCTGTGTCCCTGAGTAACGATTCTGTGTCCCTGAGTAACAATTCTGTGTCCCTGAGTAACAATTCTGTGTCCCTGAGTAACGATTCTGTGTCCCTGAGTAACGATTCTGTGTCCCTGAGTAACAATTCTGTGTCCCTGAGTAACAATTCTGTGTCCCTGAGTAACGATTCTGTGTCCCTCAGTAACAATTCTGTGTCCTTGAGTAACAATTCTGTGTCCCTGAGTAACAATTCTGTGTCCCTCAGTAACAATTCTGTGTCCCTGAGTAACAATTCTGTGTCCCTGAGTAACGATTCTGTGTCCCTGAGTAACAATTCTGTGTCCCTGAGTAACAATTCTGTGTCTGTCCCTGAGTAACGATTCTGTGTCCCTGAGTAACAATTCTGTGTCCCTGAGTAACGATTCTGT